ATAGAGATGTGCAGCCTTGGGGACCCTGTGGAGCAGTTCTATTCCAGCCTATCAGGGACACTGTGCGTCAGAATCAACTCGAGAAGGCTTTCATTATTACTGGGTTTTTTGGCTTTGTTTTCTGAAGGGGTGGAATTTGTTGAACAAAATTGCACCCACATCGATCCTGTCACTCCATTTGTGAAGGCAGAACCATTTGCTCCAGTGTTCTCACAGAATTTTCACTAAAACTAGTTCTTGTAACAGCATTTTTAAAATTATAAGATCAATTATATCATAGCATCCCAAGGGATGATCTGAACTTTTCAAGTATATAGACAACCTGACGTTCTGTTCAAAATAACTGAGCACAGAGCTATAAAATAACTTTTGTTCTATGGTTCTAGCGTTAGCTAAAGAATTCGCAATTATCTCTACTATGAACGTTTTTTTAAAAATACTAAGAGGTCACTTCTGTGAAAGGTGAAGTTTATAAACAATTATAAATTTAAGACATTCACGATGCATTTTGAATAGCAAAGGGGAGGCAATTAGATTGGTTTGCTATTTCAATTGATAAAAGGCCAGCTGAGCTGAGCAGTGCAGGAAAAGCTGAGTTCTCAGACTTATTGCTGGATTCAGTGAAAAGAGAATAGACATTCTCCGAGCTAACTTTTCATTATTGCTTATCAGGCACATCCATAACAACCAACAAAAACAAAAGCTCTGCTGCTGCCATCTAGTGGAGAAAGAAAGTGCAGCACTCACATTACAAAGTAACGCTGGTCATCTAGACCATATGGTATCCCACTTAAAAATCACACTCCATGGGAATATATGTAAAATGAAACACCCCCCAGTCCCCAAAAAGGTTTATGCTGACATACCCACATAATAACCATGCAGAGAACAAGGAAAAACATAGAGGGAAAAAAATGGACATGTGTGGGCTTAAAAGCAGATATAAATCTAAAACATTTTGGGGTTTCCGTAAGACAGCGTCACAAAACCTACACTTACATGGCCGTGCAGGTCGGTGTTCAGAAGCATCATGGCGCAGGTGAGACAATGGACTCCATCTAGAGAGAGAGAAAGGAAGGAGCTTTAATTCATGATTCCCATTCGACCAGCAGATGCGCCCCCCTCTGTCACTCCAGTTCATACTTTACGGACTTAGGAAAGTAAGACGCTGAGCTAGGAGGCACAACCATGCTCATTTTAGGGGAAAGGAAATGCACAACAGCTTCTTACAAAGAATTCAGGACACAAATTTGAGCAATGCTGGCAACCAGGCCGTTCTCTCAGGAGAGGTGATGGGCTGGGCGGTGCTCTGCAAGGTCAGAAGTTCAAAAACACTATCATCTCTTCAAGAGAAAGATGAGGCTTTCTACACCCACAAAGAATTAGTCTTGGAAACTCAGTTGCAGAGGCAATTCCACCCTGTTCTATGGGTCGCTATGAGTTGGCATCGACTCAGTGATGGTGAGGCCAAACGCAGCAAACCCATTGCTAAGGCTCCAGACCAAAGAAATGCTTAAAGAACTGCACAAAGACAGACTTCCCAGAGAAGCACTGCTGACGGTGGCCTGCCTCCCATTGTGAATGGCCCTTCCGAGACACAACACCATCCTGTGCCGTCACTAAAAGTCCTGCCCACGTATACAGGTTGACATTTCCAACATCCATGGGAAAAATATTTATTCCAAAAAGTTATTATAGGAAAAGCACACTATGTGCAGGATGAATCTATTTAAAAACAACATATGCAAGTGTGTTAGTCTGGGTAGACTAGAGAAACAAATCCATGGACACATATATGTGTATAAGAAAGATAATTCTATACAAGAGCAATTGAACATGGAGAAAACATCCCAGCCCGGTCCAGATCAAGTCCGTAAGTCCGACATTAGCCCATATGTCCGAGAGCAATCCATAAATTCCTTTTCAGACTCAGGAAACACATGCAATGAGGCCGAATGCAGGATGATCACAGGCCAGTGGGTAGAAAGTCTTTGAATCCAGTGGCGTTGTAAGCATCTCAGCGCTGGCAGGGGTCTCTCCGTGGCTCTTCCAGCTTCAGAGGTCTTGTCAGCTGCAATGTCTCCCAGGGAGTAGCAGAGAGAGAGGTGTCTTCCATCTGAAGGAGGAAGTACCAGATTTCCCAGAATTCTCAGAAGGCCATGCCCACACAGAAGTCTCGTTGGCTATCTCCAGATTGACAGTTCAGACTCCACCCCTACACTCTTAATCCTTAAATTGACACCAGATTAGGTGACTACCACAGCAAGGAAGAACATATACCAAAATATTCAATGATCATCTTTGGGTAGTGATAATAATTTGTGTGTGTTTATACTTGCTGAATTTGTTAAAATAGG